TTATTTTGACATTTTTGACAATTAAAAAATTCAAAAAACAGACTCATAAGCCTATAACACGAAATTTAAAAATTCCAAGAAAATATACAAACAGTGGCAACGCTGTCAAATAATAAAAACTTTACTTATTTTGACATTTTTGACAATTAAAAAATTCAAAAAACAGACTCATAAGCCTATAACACGAAATTTAAAAATTCCAAGAAAATATACAAACAGTGGCAACGCTGTCAAATAATAAAAACTTTACTTATTTTGACATTTTTGACAATTAAAAAATTCAAAAAACAGACTCATAAGCCTATAACACGAAATTTAAAAGTTCTAAGGAAAAATACAAACAGTGGCAACGCTGTAAAATAATAAAAATCTCACTTATTTTGACATTTTTGACAAATTAAAAATCCAAAAAACAGATTCATGAACTCATAACATGGAATTTTGAAATTTTAAGAAAAACTCAAAAAAGAGGCAACGCTGTAAAATAATAAAAATGTCACTTATTTTGACATTTTTGACAATTAAAAATTTTAAAAACAGACTCACAAGCTTATAACACGAAATTTAAAAATTCCAAGAAAATATACAAACAGTGGCAACGTTGTAAAATAATAAAAATTTCATTTATTTTGATGTTTTTGACAAGTATCAAGTCTCACAAGTCTATAACACGAAATTTTAAAATTACAAGAAAAAATACAAATAGTGGCAACGCTGTAAAATAATAAAAACTTTACTTATTTTGACATTTTTGACTATTAAAAAATTCAAAAAACAGACTCATAAGCCTATAACACGAAATTTAAAAGTTCTAAGGAAAAATACAAACAGTGGCAACGCTGTAAAATAATAAAAATCTCACTTATTTTGACATTTTTGACAAATTAAAAATCCAAAAAACAGATTCATGAACTCATAACATGGAATTTTGAAATTTTAAGAAAAACTCAAAAAAGAGGCAACGCTGTAAAATAATAAAAATGTCACTTATTTTGACATTTTTGACAATTAAAAAATTTTAAAAACAGACTCACAAGCTTATAACACGAAATATAAAAATTCCAAGAAAATATACAAACAGTGGCAACGTTGTAAAATAATAAAAATTTCATTTATTTTGATGTTTTTGACAAGTATCAAGCTTCACAAGCCTATAACACGAAATTTAAAAATTCCAAGAAAAAATACAAACAGTGGCAACGCTGTAAAATAATGAAAACTTCACTTATTTTGACATTTTTGACAATTAAAAAATTCAAAAAAGAGTCTCACAAACCTATAACAGGAAATTTTAAAATTCTAAGAAGAAATGCAAATAATGGCAATGCTGTAAAATAATAGAAATTTCATTTATTTTGATGTTTTTGACAAGTATCAAGCCCAAAAAGCCTATAACACGAAATTTTAAAGTTCCAAGAAAAAATACAAACAGTGGCAACGCTGTAAAATAATAAAAACTTCACTTATTTTGACATTTTTGGCAATTAAAAAATCCAAAAAACAGTCTCACAAGCCTTATAACACGAAATTTAAAAATTTCACGAAAATATACAAATAGTGGCAACACTGCGAAATCCAAAGGCCAAACTTACAAATTACAGTTTCCTGTAACAGTTTATTAACGATTTAAAAATTGTAAAGTTTGGAGGCGCCATCTAGCGACGATCAACCAAACTCAGAAATTATAGATTTCTATAATTGGGGGGCCACAAGAAATAAAGAATACTTACATTGGTTTTGGGCCTTCATCCCTTCTGCTGTACAAATCATCTGCAGGAGGTCCTCTAGCAGGTGGTCCGCCCCTGGAACATAAAATTTTTCAAATATTTTTCCTAATTAAAGGCTCGAAATTCTCACCTTCTGTCATCGTAGCCCCCCCTAGGCCCATCCCCGTAGCCGCCCCTGTCTTCATAAGCAGCATAAGGATCGTAGGCCCGCTCTTGGGGCGGGTACCCACCTCCACCGCCTCCGCGACGGTCCTCGTACCCGCCACGGCCTCTAAAACCCCCTCCTCTACCGCCAAAACCTCTATTACCGCCTCTAGGCCCTCCACGAAAATCCCTAGGGCCGCCCCTGGAATACGGCGTGCCTCTGTCCCGGCCCCCGGTACCCCGCATGGGGCCGCCGCCCCTGCGAGGCTTGACTCGGCCCCTTTCCACTGAAATTCTCGAGCCCATGAAGTCGGTGCCATTTAGTTCGTCAATAGCTTTGTTTGCCAAATCGGGGTTTTCCAAATGGAGAAAACCGCATTTGTTGGAAATGTCGCACTCGGCTATGGGACCGTAGGGCTCGAACAGTTTGCGCAGGTCGTCTGGGGCTATGTTCGGTGGCAAACTGCCGACGAACACTTTTGTCGTGTTTTCGGAACGACCCCGTTGCTAATTTTACGTTAATTAACATTTTTATTGTATTAATTAATTGTTTACTTACCATTTTTGTTTTTCGGAAGTCTTAAAATTTGGGTTTTTCCCTCTATTTGCCCCAAAGCTACAACAAATAATAAACAAAATGGCGGATTTGATGGTAGAAGAGGGTGGACACGAAATGACATTTGTACAGGAAACTGTAAATAGACGTACAGTAACAAACAAGAGAACAGAGTTAGTGCAGATGGAACAGGAATTAAAGCAATTGGAACACTTGGAGTAACTCGAACAATGGAAAGAATTCAATCAAAATAGTAAACAAAAATTATCGTGGTAAATATTAACAAACGTCCAAAATTTTTTAGTGGTGAATATTAACAAACGCCTTAAAATGTCAAAATATCCTTATCGTGGTGCAGATGAAACAGAAATTAGAACACTTAAAGTAACTCTAACAATAGAAGGAAATGCAAATGGAGTAATTTAAATTGAAATAGTGCAAATGGAACATAATTAGAACAGCTGAAGTAGTTCGAACAATAACAATCAGAGCAGTGTAAATAGAACAGAGTTAGTGCAAATGAAACAGAAATTAGCAATTGGAACAGTTAGAGTAATTCAAAATCCAAATGGAATTAGTGCAAACGTGACATTCAAAAGTAATTTAATTAGGAGTTAGAAAGAATTGAGTACGTCACTAAATGTGATTATTCCAGGCATTTGGCTACCAAAGATACAAGAAACGTACTGATGATGACGTCACTAAGATAGAATAAGTGCAAATGTAACAGAATTAGAACAGTTCAAACAACAAAGAATTTATTTTAAATTGTTCCATAATAGTTCTGTACGCACTGGCAGTTGATTCAAAACTGTTCTAAGAATAATTTGATCATCCCAGAACAGTTCTGAACACAATTTTTTTGTTTATAAACAGTTCCAACCTGCACCTACTCCAGCTTATTCTAGAACAATCACATAATCGTTTGAAAATTGCTCTGAATTTAAAACCCAGGCGTATTTAAAAGTGCCCCAGAGTCAAAAGTAATTTAATTAAAGTTAAAGAAAGTTTCTAATTTGAATACGTCACTAAATTAGATGGAAAATGTGATTATTCCAGGCATTTGGCTACCAAAGTAACAAGAAACGTACTGATGATGACGTCACTAAGATAGATTAAGTGCAAATGTAACAGAATTAGAACAGTTCAAACAACAAAGAATTTATTTTAAATTGTTCCATAATAGTTCTGTGCGTACTGGCAGTTGATTCAAAACTGTTCTAAGAATAATTTGATCATCCCAGAACAGTTCTGAACACAATTTTTTTGTTTATAAACAGTTCCAACCTGCACCTTCTCCAGATTATTCTAGAACAATCACATAATCGTTTGAAAATTGCTCTGAACTTAAAACAGGAGTATTTAAAAGTGCCCCAGAGCTCAAAAGTAATTTAATTGGAGTTAGAGAAAGTTTCTAATTTGAATACGTCACTAAATTAGATGGAATATGTGATTATTCCAGGCATTTGGCAACCAAAGATACAAGAAATGTACTAATGATGACGTCACTAAGATACAATACTTAGAATAAGTGCAAATGGAACAGAATTAGAATAGTTAATTTATTTTGAATTGTTCTATAATGATTCTTTGCGCACTGGCAGTGGATTCAAAACTGTTCTAAGAATAATTTGATCATCCCAGAACAGTTCTGAACACAATTTTTTTGTTTATAAACAGTTCCAACCTGCACCTACTCCAGATTATTCTAGAACAATCACATAATCGTTTGAAAATTGCTCTGAACTTAAAACAGGAGTATTTAAAAGTGCCCCAGAGCTCAAAAGTAATTTAATTGGAGTTAGAGAAAGTTTCTAATTTGAATACGTCACTAAATTAGATGGAAAATATGATTATTCCAGGCATTTGGCTACCAAAGATACAAGAAATGTACTGATGATGACGTCACCAAGATAAAATACATACATTTGAAACTGTTCTAAAAATGATTTGATCGTTACAATTCTAAACGAATTTTTTTGTTTATAAACAGTTCGAACCTGCACTTACTCCAGATTATTCTAGAACAGTCAAATTTTGTCTCAGAATCGTTTGATAACTGTTCTGAACCCAAAATAAGAGTATTTAGAAGTACTTTATGCGTGAATCAAACGTCAAATTGTTGAAGCAATGTCAAAAAAAGTTTAATTTCGCGTTTATAAGTACTAGGCTTTACCCTGGAGTTAAAACCAACCCGGATGTGACCCGCATTTGAGAAAGCTGCCTTTAATGAAATTTCCATAAGGTGCCTCAAATACGTCATCAAGTTGAAGATACACACTATTTTTACAGTATAGTCTATCCTCATGAGACCTATGTGAAAAAAATCCCCCCTTAACCCCACGCTTCAGATCACCAGTTATGACGTAATGAAGTGGCGCCTTGTAATTTTTTGCCAGTTTTTTCGGAATTTTCCACTTTTCCAGACTGTTTTCAATCGGGAAAACTCGATTAAAGTGCAAAGTTTTGAGTTTTCTTTATTTTAAGCCAAAAATTTCCAGTTTTTCAACGGGGTAAGTGAGAAAAACGGCCATTAGGCGTTTTCAAATAAACACAATTAGAGTAACTCGGAATTATTTTGTTCGTTCGTAAGGTTCAGCCTTGTGACCGGTCTCGCCCCATTCCTTGTGCCCTTCAGCGTTGCACTGACCGCAATACAAGTCGCCGCCGCAGTCCAGGCACCGGAACTCGGCGTCGCTGTTGCACAGAACGCACCAGGGCAGTTCGGGCGATTCGGAGCGGTTCTCTTCCAATTTGGGTTCGCTCGAGAGCTGCTCTAAAAGGGCGTCAACTTGTTCTTGCTCTGATTTTGAGGTTTTTGTTGCAGATTCAGTATTGTTAAGGCTTCGCCCTTCCTTTAATTTAGCCAGTCTTTGTCTGATTTCGCTGTCACTGATTTTTGGGGTTTCTTTAAGTTTCTCAAGCCTTTTGGCCAATTGTAGATCAATGTTTGAACAGTTGGACTTGTAAATTGTTATCAAGGGCTTTTCAAGCCTCCTAAAGCAAGCTTGAATTAATAATTGAAATCTAAATGAGTGAAAACTTACTTTAGGAATCTGTCTGGAGGTGAAAACGTAGGCTCAGTTTTAGGGTCGTTCTGGAGGAGTTTTGGATAACAAGTGCGGCAAATTTTTCCGAGGCTTTGCCACTTGTGCGGCAAACATTTGCCGCAAAGGGAAAGGCCACAGTTTGCGCAACCCAATTCTTTGTTGAAAAAACCGAATTTATCATTACAATGATTGCAGGACATTATTATATTTAATAAATAATCAATAATCAGCTGTTTTGGAGTAAACGTGTGAACGCACCTTTTAGTTCAATAACAAAAATCTGTAATTTGCAAGTTTGGCTGCTCCTTGCTAGATGGCGCCATTTAATTTTCGTTCGGAATTGTATTCTTTCTGGTTTTTGGAGTGAAAAAACTTACTACTCTGTGAGTACTCCTTATGATCGAATTTGGATATTTAATGTAGATAGAGTAACCTAGTTCACATTATACAGAAACTTACTCTATTTATACCGATTTCAAAATTCATCATAAATTAGAGTCAAAAGAGCATACTCTAGGATTTCTATTTCTATATTAAAACCAATGGAATCGCCCAATATCGATTCGGAGTAGTTTTGTGATCACTTTAGAGTGAAAAGTGCAAACGTTTACAAGTGAACCTGGAGCAAAAAAGTAACGAGCAACAAAACTTTAATGAGTTATTATTAGTTCAGTCAGGAATTTTACTTTTTTTGGTTCTGTTTGTTTTCGGAGCAAACAGAGTAAGATTTAAATTACTCTAGAAGTTCATTCTTTCATGACGTCAGAATGCCTAGCAAACATTATCATCGCTTGTAGTATACGCAATAAATAGGTCGCGGATGACGTCATGAAAGTACTGGTTGTGATCTTAGCCCTGGAGCCAATGAACTATAATAAGTTCAATGAACTCTGAATGAATAATGATATTAATTCAGAGTCAATCTAGAACTGGTTCTAAATGAACTGCGAATAAAAAAGAGTAATTTCAACGTGAACTAGGTTACTCTATCTACACTAAATATCCAAATTCGAACATAAGGAGTGCTCACAGAGTAATTAGAGTAGTAAGTTTTTTCACTCCAAAAACAAGAACAGAGTAAAACAATGTCAAAAAGAATACATTTCAAAACACTCTAAACGCTCTTTCTAAATTAAATGCAATTCAAGAATTTGTAATGGAAATTCAAATGATTGTAATGCTCCATTAAAATGAGTATTGAAATCGGAGTAAATAGAGTAATTTTTTGTTTAAGGTGAACCAAGTTACTCTATCTACACTAAATAATCAATGAGGAGTGTTTACAGAGTAGTTAGAGTAATAAGCTTTTTCACTTTATTCACTACAAAAACCAAAAAGATGTCAAAAAGAATACAATTCTGAGCTTTTTCTACTCCGAACAAAGTGACGTCAGTCGAATGCATCCAAATGTAAAAAAAAAAATCAACTCTGTTTTGACTCTGAATCCGAACAACGATAATAATTTCACTCTAAAGTGAAATATTTGATTCAATGGAGTAAAAGGAGCCAAAGAAAAAAAGATTTCCACTCTAAAATACTGTTCTGCCTTCATTTTTACGTAAATTGAATCGTTCAGAGTGTATTCTTTTTTGTAACAAACTTACTCTAAATACAAAACTCGAACTGGTGGAGTAAAAAAAAAAGAGTACAATTTCACTCTTAGAATCACTCTAACATGCTATAATCTGCTCCAGGGCTGCAATCGCTGTTTTCACTCTGTTCCGAATTTACTCCAAAATGTGGGTCTTATAATTCATCCTACTATAGCTGGATTCAGCTATTCAGCGCAAAGTTGGAGTGGAGTGAAAAGAGCTAATGGAGTCACCCCTAATACGATAAAAAGCAATACCCGAACGGCTAGAGTGCGAATGGAGTCACTCGGAGTACACGGAGTGAGCATAATTGAACAAATAAATAATGAGATTTTTATTATTTTCGGCATTAATTAACAAATTAACTTATAATTAAAATATTTACATAACAAAATAATTTTTAATTGGTCCGATTTGGCAACGCCGCGACCACTTCATTCGTTTGTAGCGAGTTGCTCAGAGCCAGCTTCAGGGCTTCGTCGTAAGATGGCGGTGCTGGAAAAATCCAAAAAAAAAGAATCAGAAAATAACAAAACTTCTATAGTAGGCTGTTTGATAACTGTATGACGTCATCTGGGGTGCAAGGTATCCCAAATACGTTATCAAGTTACCCATTACTAGACCAAGGATGATACACAATACACACTACTACTACTACAGGATAGTGTAAGCTCATAAGGTCCTTCACCTTCACACAAAATCACCAGTTGTGACGTAGATGACTTGTGTTTTTCACTTTTTCAAGGCTTTTTAATAGGAAAAAACGATTTAACATATGAGGCTTTGAGTTTTCTTCATTATCCAACCATAATCAGCAAAATCCTATTTGAAATGCTTTTTCTGGAAGTTTTGATGTGGCAACACCGCTCGTGGCCAACTTCACGAGATTTCAAGCGCAAGTAGGCCTTGTAATAATGTCATTTTTTTTTTGACAATCTGCCATTTTTAATTGACATTCTGACGTCAATTTTTTTGACGTTTGCTGTATCATAGACAGTGTTGTTTTAGTCACGGCCCGAAGGGCCGGAGTTTTATGGCCCGAAGGGCCAGAGTTTTATGGCCCGAAGGGCCAGAGTTTTATGGCCAGAAGAGCCAGAGTTATTTTAATAATGAGCCCGGAAGGCCGAAGTTATACAAGTCCGAAAGGACAACAAACGTCAAAACATTGACATTTCAAAGTAGGCTTTGGTCTCTTTCAAGGATAGTACACACTACTACTATAGGATAGCCGATCCTCATAAGGCTTGTATGGAACAAATCCTTCCTCTCCTTCATCCGCCAAGTCACCAGTTATGACGTAGGCAGCATGTTATTTTTCGCCTCTTTTAGTCTGTTTAAACAGCTGACGACTTAGTTATGACATCGGAAATGGTGACATATCAATATGGTGGATATTACCAAAAATGAGGCCGATAAGCAATCTTGTAGGTGTGTATCGTCCTTAATTATTTCAAGCATTTGATTGGCTGCTGGGAAATGATTGTACAGTTGGTAATGCGGCGGCCAATCAAGAGCCAGGAATAATTTAAAAAAATTATACAGTTGGCAATACGGCGTCTAATCAAAAAGCCTGGGAATAAATTTTTGGTACAATAATTGACAAAAATGACATCTACGATTTTTGAGGCACTTTTCAACATTCACCAGAATTTTTATAATAATTGAGTGATTATTCCAGGCATTTGATTGGCTTAGCTGGAGGATAATTGAACAGTTGGCAATACGGCGTCCAATCAAAAAGCCTGGGAATAAATTTTTGGTACAATAATTGACAAAAATGACATCTACGATTTTTGAGGCACTTTTCAACATTCACCAGAATTTTTATAATAATTGAATGATGATACAATCAACATAGAATGGAACAACTCAACTCAAATCACCAGTTGTGACGTAGCAGCATGTGATTTCCCGCTTTGACTTGACGTAGGTTGTTTAAACAGTTATGACGTTACAAATGGTGACACATTAATATGATATCATGATCCTTGTTACCAAACAATTCTGAAGCAGTTTTACTCACCGTCGTCGTATTTCGGAGGTTTATTCAGCTCATTTGTGATTGCAATATGATCGATCGATAAATACGGATCAGAATGCTGATGGTTTTGCAGGCGGCCGCTGATGCTGTAGACGCTGTTCTGATCTGGTTGAGCTGAAACAATAATAGTGGTGTCTTTTTTCATCGGCTTGTATGAGAAAGTGACAAAAATACACTAATAGAACTTGTTATGGCGTTTAAATGCAAAAATACCTTCACCAAAATGTCAATGAAATTGTATTTTATTGGTAACAAATACCTGCTCTGCGATTTTGCCGCCTTTTGTACCAATTAAAACCCAAATAGGACACTAAATACAGTAATCCGGACACAAGGCCTACTATAATAGGCTGAACTACAACCATTTTGGACAAACAAATAAGCGATAATACACTTGATATCAATAATTGATTTATTTTTAAATGTTTTTATCAAATCTAAAGTGTTTCCTAATGATTATAATTACCTGCTAATGCTTGGGAGCTTTTCAAAAAAACATAGAGAAAACTGACAACAAAGCAAAGGCAAATTAACGCTATTGCCAGGCACACAAGCAAAACCATTTTGAATGAAAATTGCATTGAATTGTGGGTTTTTATTGTTTTTTAGATTGCGAAAATATTTGCACAGACACACACACGGGTGTGTTTTTGTTTTTTCAAAATGAGGGCAATGGCATTATTATTAAATTTTTCAAAATACAATAATATGGTACGTCTATGGTTTTAAAAATCTGCGTCCTTTTTCAGGGGCGTGGTTAAAGAGAGACGGAGTCATTGAAACCCATAGACGTAGCATTTTTTATTTTGAAGCTACAAGCTACAAGGAGCATTAAATTCTCTATAAATCAGTGCTTATAGCTCAAATAGTTTTCGAGTAATTAATTCTCAAAGTTAAAGACTACATAAATAGTTTTCTAGTCAAATTTACCTATTAATTGAGCTCTAACGACTCTATGTTGCCGCTGATTGGTCCTCCGCCTCAATCTGCTGTCCTTTTTTATAGAGAAAAATATAATACAGGTCGATAATAGAGCACAAAGGATCACGCTCACAATTGCTCCGACTACAACCGCTTCAGAAATCATTGTTTTTCGAACTAAAATAATCCGATTATTTAATTTGTTTATCTTATCAATAATTATTATTATTGATAAAAATTTAATCAATTAATTATTATTTTAAGTTCTGAGCCAAATCAGGGCCTATGATGTATCTTTTCCTGTTATTTTAACAGCTGAAAATCTATATCTGTCTCTATATTTACGTGTAGAATAAACAGTGACAGAAAGAGGGGCCGGAGGGCCGGAGTTATAGGCGAGTCCGGCCCAAAGGGCCGGAGTTATATGCGGGTCCGGCCCAAAGGGCTGGAGTTATATGAGAGTCCGGCCCGAAGGGCCGGAGTTATATGCGAGTCCGGCCCGAAGGGCCGGAGTTATATGCGAGTCCGGCCCGAAGGGCCGGAGTTATATGAGAGTCCGGCCCAAAGGGCCGGAGTCATATGCGGGTCCGGCCCAAAGGGCCGGAGTTATATGCGAGTCCTTTGAGTTTTCTTCATTTTGTAGTAAAAATTTCCAGTTTTTCAATGGTGTAAGTGTTAGTTTTATCAAGTAGGCTTTGGAATGTAATTTTTGCTGGTTTTCCTTTGGATTTTCCATATATTCAGGGTTTTTTGGATTGGAAGAAAACTCAAAGGACTCGCATATAACTCCGGCCCTTCGGGCCGGACTCGCATATAACTCCGGCCCTTCGGGCCAGACTCGCATATAACTCCGGCCCTTTGGGCCGGACTCGCATACAACTCCGGCCCTTCGGGCCGGACTCGCATATAACTCCGGCCCTTCGGGCCGGACTCGCATATAACTCCGGCCCTTCGGGCCGGACTCGCATATAACTCCGGCCCTTCGGGCCGGACTCGCATATAACTCCGGCCCTTTGGGCCGGACTCGCATACAACTCCGGCCCTTCGGGCCGGACTCGCATATAACTCCGGCCCTTCGGGCCGGACTCGCATATAACTCCGGCCCTTCGGGCCGGACTCAGCGAAGCCCTAAATAACAATGTTGCTCCTTAATATAGTGTATAAATAAACCTTCATTGTGACAATTATAGATGGCGCTTTTTGACTTTGCAAAAAAAAAAGAAGAATTTTTCTGTCAATAGCAGGAAATGTCAATTCATTTCATTTGTTTATTGTTGTAAATATGGGTATCATACTGAAATTTCAAATTTAAAAAATAATGAAATGGGAAATTAATTAAAATTATAAAGTTCCTATGTAAACCAAGCCAATTCCATTGAGTTGATACAGAACGCCATCTATTGACAATCAAGCCAACTATGAAAATTGCATAGGAAAGTTTTGGTTGCGTTTACTTCAGAAAATTTTAAATAATTATTTTGTGCAATAATATAATTACTCGGTACTACTCGGCATAATAATTCAGTACTACTCAATAAAATGATTTCTACTCGACATAATCATTCGGTTCTAGTCGTTCTAATTATAATAATTCAGTGAATAGTACTAAGTAGAAATCAATTCGAGTAGTTTTTATTTTGAGTAGTACTGTATTATTATTTCGAGTAGTTATTTTGAATTTTTATTTCGAGTAATTACTACGAGTAGTTAGTTTCAAAGCTACTCGACATAATTACTCGGTACTAATCAGCATAATAATCCAGTAGTACTTAATAAAAAAAAACTCAAAATACAAACTACTCAAACTGACTTCTATTCAACATAATTATTCAGTACTACTCGGCACAATTATTCGGTACTATTCAACACAATAATTCAAAATTATTCGACATAACTACTCGGCCCAATTATTCAATACTACCCAATATACCTACTTAATATAATAATTCAAAACTACTCATCTCAATTACTCAGTACTACTCAACATGAAAATCCTAAATCTACTCAACATAAAACTTCAAATTAGCTACTCGACATAACAACTATTCGGGAATAATATTTACAGGTGTCAAAAAATTAAGCATCATTAAAATTGACTTTTCTAAACAAAATTAAGGAAAATTCACTCTCTTTCATTTTAATTTTTTTCTGGAAAACTATCTAGGAGAAAATTATGAAATTTTCTAGAAAAAAAGAAGGAAGTCAGGGGCGCATCACACTAAAATTTCAAATTTTTCCCGCGAAAAACAACAAAATTAAAAATAATTTTAAAAATTAAATAGAGGTGCGTTCGATAACATCTTTTTTGGTATAAAAAAAAGGACTCGCTTAGGAAAATCAATGAAATTGACAATCGGCAGTATAAACCCAGTCACCAAACTAACACTTTTGACAGTTGACATTTATAATGTCAACTATCAAAAAACGACAGATTTAAGGCGTACTATAATTTGATAGTACATAGTACATAACCATTCAATTATAGTACAAATACATTGTTGGCAACACTGGACAAATATCACATCTATAGGCCAGAATATTTTGTGATTTCTGAGTATTGTATCTAAAGTGCGCATTATTATAAACATTTAACCTTTATCAAAAATTGTTTATTTATACACATTTATTATCATTTAATCCAAAACAATAAATAACTTACTTGATGTTTGATTTTTCTTTCTCATTTTCCAAGTTCTCAGAAGCAAACTGAGCACAAGGACGAGCAATAAGGCACAAGGAAGAATCAGAAATTCTTCCATAGTTAATGTTTTACCTGTTAAAAGGCATAATAACGACTGGGCTGTCAACAAGTCAACAAGAAAATATGCGACTGATAAGATAATGCGGATTTTTTAATTGTTTGAATAGATATTTTCGCGCAAATTACTATTCAACTCAATTTTGTATGGCTTTATAGACAATTTGTCAACTACGACTCTGTATATCAAATTTACTAAAGTGTCAGCATTTATTTGGTGTAAATGCAGGGCCGAAATCCATTACCGGCAGACTAAGGCAAAGTACCTCAAATGGGAAAAGCCCTTCTAGCTAAGTCTCCTCCCAGTGCAAACTACCTTTAATGGGAAACGCCCTTCTGGACCTGTCGCAAATCTAGTTTCAGTCTTCAGTTACGCCAAGTGTACTCGTTGTCTCTTTTCAATTGCACAATACAAAAAGAAATAGCCATATATAATCTAGTTGGGAAATAATTAGGCCTGATGTAATTTTTTGTCTTTTTTCAATTGTGTTCATTGAAAAAAGATAAAAAAGAAAACCCAGTCTAAAAAAAAAAGTAACCAAGTAGGCCTTGTATTTATTTATTTATTTATTTTTTTTGACATATTTAAAGCAGTTGGTACCATACAATAATATGTTTTGTTTATATTAGTTTTTGGCCAAATTAAGTGGAATTAATGCCACTGTCATTAGGCATAAGAGCATTTTAATATTAAAAATCCCTAAAAACAAGGCTTTTTAATTTTTTTCTGACGTATAAAGCAGTTGGTACTTATAAATGGCGTCCTATAAAAATGTTGCTTACAGTAATCTACAGTGGCGGCTCGTCAAAAAATTGAAAATTCAATCTCAGGTTTTTTATTCCTGATTCCTAATTAAAATAATAATTCACAAATTACACTTTCGATATTTCAATGTAATTTAGAAAAATCTGACAACATTGTTTCAATCAATCCCGCGCCTCCACGACAAAAATCTGTGAATCTGAGATATTTAGTAATATCGGCCCGAAGGGCCGGAGTTAAATGCGAGCCCGAAGGGCCGGAGTTAAATGCGAGCCCGAAGGGCCGGAGTTAAATGCGAGCCCGAAGGGCCGGAGTTAAATGCGAGCCCGAAGGGCCGGAGTAATACGAGCCCGAAGGGCCGAAGTTACACGCTAGCCCGAAGGGCCGGAGTAATACGAGCCCGAAGGGCTAGAGTCTATAACTCTATTGGTTAGCGGATAATTTAGATCCAATTAAAAACCGGAAGTATTTAAAATACGATTTTTAGCACCTAATCAAAGAGTCGGGAATATTCAAAAACTTTAGTTTCATCAAATTGACTTTGGAATGTTGGGCTCGCATATAACTTCGGCCCTTCGGGCTCGTATTACTCCGGCCCTTCGGGCCGGTATTACTGAGTATTTCAGATTCACAGATTTTTGTTGTGGAGGCGCGGGATTGATTGAAACAATGTTGTCAGATTTTTCTAAATTACATTGAAATATCGAAATCTGGAAAGTGTAATTTGTGAATTATTATTTTAATTAGGAATCAGAAATTAAAAACTGAGATTGAATTTTCAATTTTTTGACGAGCCGCCACTGTAGATTATTGTAAGCAACATTTTTATAGGACGCCATTTATAAGTACCAACTGCTTTATACGTTAGAAAAAAAAATTACAAAGCCTTGTTTTAGGGAGTTTTAATATTAAAATGCTCTTATGCCAAATGACAGTGGCATTAATTCCACTTAATTTAGCCAAAAACTATAGAAAATAATATAAACAAAACATATTATTGTATGGTACCAATTGCTTTAAATGTCAAAAAAAAATAAATAAAAACAAGGCCTACCTGGTTGCTGGGAATAATCCCTTCATAAGGCTCTTCCGTAAGCCAATAAGGGCTAGTTATTTCCTACAGCTCGATTAGACTCTTTCTTCGGATCGTTCATTGGTTGTAATGTAATACAAAATGGCCGAAAGTCTACAAATGGCTGATAACCAATGAAAGATAGGTACTGAGGTCCTTTTATCTCTTATTTTTTCTAGTTTTTCCAACTCAAATTTTATCTATTCCCCCAATGTTTAACCAAAAAAGGTACGCCTATGGATTGTATGACTCCACCCCTTGTTTATTGGCAATTAACCTCGTCCATTTAGAACCCATAAAAGGCGTCTAAATGGGTGGAGCTTTACCATCCATAGGCGTACGAGATATATTTCAAACAAAATTCCACTCGTTTTGAAAAACAACATGGCGGCAAATTTAAACTCAAATCAGTGTTGCCAACCGGTTTGTAAATTGAACTTACACACTGTTGCCGGCTTTTACTCAAAAATCGACCAAGCCTTACAATAAATCCTATGATATGAAGAAGAGAGAAATAGACCTATAAAACGGCAACAATGTTTTTACCAGTGGCAGTGTATAATTTTGAATAATATAATATAATAATTTCATGAACACAAACGCTTTCGCGAGAAACTTATGACGTCATATTATTCGTCAGAAACATGGACGCAGTTTCTAACCTAAACTCATGACGTCATAAGACAAACTAATAATGAACTACATTCGTCCAAAACATTTGGTTTTTGTGTAGGTACCAATTTTTTCTTTATTTCTCAATTTTTCCTGTTCAATTTTTGTTTATGTCTGGCTCTTGGATTTGTCAAAATGACATAAATACAAGAGAATTTGCTGATCCAATATGGCGTCTGTGGGCAACCAATCAACAACAAAACATCTACATGGCATTTTTAATTCAAAAAACACTTAGATTAATAATATGAAAAACAAATTGGGTTCAGTCACAAAACAACCACGCAAAAGCTTCAAAGTCTGTATACTCTTATACGGAATAATGAACTTCCGCCCACTGACGCCATATTTGAATAGTTTTGACAGCTGCATTCGATTAATTTAATTCAATTTAAGTCTATTTCTTTCCAACTTATTGAATTTCCATATTGTTTCTCTTTCTCATTTATTTCAGGTTCTCATTGTCCATACATAAAAATTACAAAACCGTTGGAAAAAAAATATATATACATATATATTTCATTCCTATATTATCTTCATCTTTCTCTTACTGATTGTATATCCTTCGAGTATCTTTCTCTTTTTATTTCAAACTCAAAAACTATAAGGCCACTGGATCGCCAGAAATAAACAAAATATGTTTATTTCCATCTCTGTCTTACTTATTAAATTTCATATATTGCAGTTTCTTACTCTATTTTTCCGCCACTGGTTGGTTTTTTTTAAGATTTTTACTTTTTTCAGAAAACGGTGGTTTTTGCAAACATATACTACTTTATCGTTGTCTTTGTCTTACTCACTATAATTAATAAGGAAACCTTGTAATGTCATTTTCATTGAAATTAAATTAAAAACAAGTTTCCTATGATTTATTTGGGGAATTTTAATTATTATTAATCATTATTAATTAATTAATAAATTGAATTTTAAACAAAAAACCCTTTTAAAATGTTATTTTTGTTTTCCGAAATGAGATGTGGCAACGTTGTTTTTAGTTGGCCATTTTGAAGTGACGTTTTGTGATTTTTTGTCAATTTTTTCTCGAATTTTCGACTTTTCCAGGGTTTTTTAATGGAAAAAAGCAATTTAACATACGAGGCTTTGAGTTTTCTTAATTTTCGGCTAAAAATTTCCGGGGTAAGCAATACAAATTTTACTTTTAACAAGCAGGCTTTACAATGTAATTTTTAGAGGTTTTTCTCTAGATTTTTCGCCGTTCCAGGGTTTTTTCGGTCGGGAAAACCAATTTAAATTACGAGGCTTTCAATTTTCTTAATTTTTTAGTGAAAATTTCTAGTTTTAAATGCTATAATTAGCAAAATCCCATTTAAAATGCTCTTTCTGGAAGTTTTGATGTGGCAACATCGCTTATAGCTAACTTCAAGTAATAAATGTCATTTGCCATTTTCAATTGACGTTTTTATTCAGTTTTTCTTCGAATTTCCACTTTTCCGGGGTTTTTTCAGTCGGGAAAATACGAGGCTTTGAATTTTCTTCATTTTCCACCAAAAATTTCCAGTGTTTCAACGGGGCAAATGAGAAAAACTTTAGTTTTATCAAGGAGGTTTATTTGGAATGTCATTTTCGTTGGTTTTTTTTTTTGGAATTTTTATTTAAGGTTTTTGACGTCCGGGGATCGTTTTCCACCACTTTTTTGACGTTGACAGCTGTCAATTTTTTTTGACACAAATCGATAGTTGGCGTTGTGAAACTGCCTTGCACCGGGGTTTGATTTTCGTAGCTCTTATAGTAGAGCGGAGAAAAAGTCGAACATGTGTCAAATTTGACAGGTGACAATATTGCCAAACTGTCATGCGACAAAAGTTTTATTCGGTTCATTGTTAACTGATTTTAATACTCCGGCCCTTCGGGCCGTAATCTTTGAAACAAAAAGACACGTCATTTTGTATCGATTGTCAAAAAAAAAACCAAGGTTTGAAATTTCAATTTTTTTTTGACGTTTGTTGTATCATGCATGAGCAGTGTTGCCATATGTTTTTTTTTTTTTTCAAATTTCGAAAGGTCAGAGATTATAGGTTATTTTAAAGCCAATCAAGAGCCGGGAATAATCAAAATTCGAATCCCCATAACCAATCAGAAGCCGAGAAAATTCAAAAATTCCAAACCCGATGGGAAATTGAATTTTTTGTACCAACTATTATTATATAAATCTCACCCTAAAACCCACTTTTGGAAAAAACAAAAGAAATTTTTTTTTTGAAATTGACAGCTGTCAAAATACGTATAGGAAGTACCAAATTTCTCAATAAAAATATTACTTACAATAATTTACACTTCTAGTAGAATGTTCCATATTTTGGCTTCTTCTACGCGCCCTTATATTTTGCTTCTCCTTACAAGTTTTCCTAATAATCACGCCAAGTCCCAACAAAATAAGAAAAACCGTCGACAAGTAAATATAACCTCCTGGGTTCATTTTGGACACACGAATGTTTTTTCAAATAGGGATTATTATAAGATAAAGAAGGCCGATATAATCCCTTGATAATAATTGATTTATAACGTACAACATTTTATTTACTCACCTTTAGTTTCCCATAAACAATAAGCAAACATTATTAATCTAATAACCAGTAAAACCCCGCAAAAGGCCATCATGTAAAACACAAAAGACAAAATGTACATGTAAAAATCTCTTTCCAACATCTTTGGTTGAATGCCTAAAGCAACATAAATCCCCCAGACGTTATTATTTGTTTGAAAAACGCCATATTATATTACTTATATAGATAAGATAAAATTGTGTACTTTAGCTTTCTCACCTAAAAGTTTCAATTGGGCTCGTTTCCTTTTGACGAAACTCCTAAGTAAAGCTACCAAAATGACCACCAACATTATGAGAACGATAAAACCTATTTCGTCTCTTTGGTCGAACCACATTTTGCTACATCTCACGCCGACATATACTAAAACAATGTATTTCAACTAAAAGTCTAATTATACCTGATGGAGATTAGATAAAAAAGTAAATCAATATTTGTTGTAGATAAAATGTTGTACTTATTAGATAATATTTTTATATAATATGAAAATCTATCGATATATTATATGGCCCTTTTTAGGCGGCAGGCGAAGCGACGCCGAAACCGACGCCAGAAAGGCGTCTCGGTGGCTGGAAAAACAACAAAAACTCGCTGCCGGGTTGTTTTTTTGGCACTTAAAATAATTCAATATTTATTTTAGTTATCTTTTTCTATTACAAGCTGTTAGGAAAGGATGCTAATATGCATAAGCCCAACTAGGCTCCAAATTTGCAGCACCATATTTTTTGATGGAAAGAAAATGTGACGCGTAAAAAAAAGTTAGTTTCACGAAGGTTTGTACTTACGTCGTCATTTGCCTTTTTTCTGAAAAATAGGTTTTTTCATGTCTGAAATTTCAAACAAACAATATAGTTCATTGCATGGCATGAAAGTTTTTACTGACGTCATCGATGACGTCATAACTTTCTTTTGCCAGTTTTCCAGAAAACAATTGAAATGTAAGAGGATGAATTTTTCTTAATTTTGCTTAAATAAGTCAATTTTTCAGAATTTTTTATGGAGTGATTTTTCGTTTGAAAATTTTCAAATTTTTGCAATAATTTGTGTAATTTTCATAGTTTTTCGTAATATCCATAATTCTCGTAATTTTTCGTTATTCACGTAATTTTTCATAATTTCCATTTTTCGTAAATTCCGTAATTTTCTATAATATTAAGAAAATTTCTGTAATTTACAAACAATTCGTGTAATTTTGAATAATTTTGAGCATTTTTGGAATAATTCCTGTAATTCCCCTATTTTTTGTAATTTCCGTTATTTTTCGTAATTTCTGCAATACATATTCGAATAATTTCCGTAATTTCAGAATATTTTTTGAAATTTTGAATTGTGTATATAATTCCTATAGTTTTGAATTGATAATTTAAAAAATATAAAAATTGCAAAATTAAAAAATAAGATAATTATAAAAATTAAAAGAATTAAAAAATTACGAAAATAATTTATTAAAGAATTACAAAAATTAAAAAATATTAGAAACTACGAAAAAATCAAAAAATTACCGAATTTGCAAAGATTCCTCAAAAAATTAATTACGGAAATCACAAAAATTAAGAAAATTATAAAAATTCCATTAAAAAAATACGGAAAATTCAGGAATACGGAAAATATGGAATTAATAAAAATAAATTGGAAAATTATAAAAATTTCAAAAATTACAAAGATCGCGAAAAAATGAAAAAAAAAAAAAAAATCGGAAAAATTGCAAAAATCACGGAAATTTTGAAAAATTACGGGAAATACATTAATAATTATTAAGAAAGCAAGAAAAAAATTAAAAAATTACAAAAAAATCGGGTATTACAAAAACAATGAAAATAAGTTTGAAAAATACTGAAAATTCAAAAATTATGTAAAATTACAAAAATAATTAAAAAATTATGTAAAATACGGAAATTACAAAAAAATAACAAAAATCATTAAAATTGCAAAAATCATGGAAATTTGAAAAAAAAATTACAGCACTTACAATTATTGAAAAATTAAGATGAGAATTGCAAAATTACGAAAAAAACCCGGAATAGAAATACTTATGTAATGGAAATTATTTTAAAAAATTACGGGAATTTCAAAAACTACGTGAAATTGCAAAAATCATTGGCAAATTACGGAAAAATTACAAAAATTACGAGAATTTCAAAAATTATGTAGAACTGGGAAAATCATGGGTAAATTGCGAGAATTAAATTTGTAAAAAATTAGGAGAATTAAAAAATTACGAAGAAAATCACGGGAATTTCAAAAATTATTAAAATTTCGAAATTATTGGAAAATAACGTATTACGAAAAAATAACAAAAATTACGAGAAATGCAAAAATCACTGCAAATTTAAAAAGTTACGAAAACCACCATTATTAAAAACTAAAAAGGAGAATTATAAAATTTGAGTATTACCTGTCAAAAAAACAAAAAAAAAAAATTTTCTCAATTACCTGTCAAAAAAAGAGGACACTTGAAAAAATTTTTTTTTTTTTTATAGGATTGGACTTGTCAAAAAATGAGATTTAAAAAAAAAAAAAAAAAATGTTTTTGATAGGATTGGATCTGTCAAAAAAAAATGACATTTAAAAAAAAAAAAAAAAAAATTGTTTTTCATATTATTGGACCTGTCAAAAAAATGACACTTGAAAAAAAAAAATATTTTTTTATAGGATTGGACCTGTCAAAAAATGACATTTAAAAAAAAAAAAAAAATTTATAGGATGAGACCTGTTAAAAAAAAGTTACATTAATTTGAAAGAAAAAAATAATAAATTTTCATATTATGGGACCTGTCAAAAAAACAAAAAAAAAAAATTTCTCAATTACCTGTCAAAAAAAGAGGACACTTGAAAAAATTTTTTTTTTTTTTTATAGGATTGGACTTGTCAAAAAATGAGATTTAAAAAAAAAAAAAAAAAATGTTTTTGATAGGATTGGACCTGTCAAAAAAAAATGACATTTAAAAAAAAAAAAAATTGTTTTTCATATTATTGGACCTGTCAAAAAAATGACACTTGAAAAAAAATAATTATTTTTTTATAGGATTGGACCTGTCAAAAAATGACATTTAAAAAAAAAAAAAAAAATTTATAGGATGAGACCTGTTAAAAAAAAATTACATTAATAAAAAAAAAAAAATTTCTTATTATGGGACCTGTCAAAAAAACAAAAAAAAAATTTTTTCTCAATTACCTGTCAAAAAAAGAGGACACTTGAAATTTTTTTTTTTTTTTTTTATAGGATTGGACTTGTCAAGAAATGAGATTTAAAAAAAAAAAAAAAATGTTTTTGATAAGATTGGACCTGTCAAAAAAAAATGACATTTAAAAAAAAAAAAAAAATTGTTTTTCATATTATTGGACCTGTCAAAAAAATGACACTTTAAAAAAAAAAATATATTTTTTTATAGGATTGGACCTGTCAAAAAATGACATTTAAAAAAAAAAAAAATTTATAGGATGAGACCTGTTAAAAAAAAGTTACATTAATTTGAAAGAAAAAAAAAATAAATTTTCATATTATGGGACCTGTCAAAAAAACAAAAAAAAAAAATTTTCTCAATTACCTGTCAAAAAAAGAGGACACTTGAAAAAAATTTTTTTTTTTTTTTATAGGATTGGACTTGTCAAAAAATGAGATTTAAAAAAAAAAAAAAAATGTTTTTGATAGGATTGGACCTGTCAAAAAAAAATGACATTTAAAAAAAAAAAAAAAAATTGTTTTTCATATTATTGGACCTGTCAAAAAAATGACACTTGAAAAAAAATAAATATTTTTTTATAGGATTGGACCTGTCAAAAAATGACATTTAAAAAAAAAAAAAATGTTTTTGATAGGATTGGATCTGTCAAGAAAAAATGACATTTAAAAAAAAAAAAAAAATTGTTTTTCATATTATTGGACCTGTCAAAAAAATGACACTTTAAAAAAAAATATATTTTTTTATAGGATTGGACCTGTCAAAAAATGAGATTTAAAAAAAAAAAAAAAATGTTTTTGATAGGATTGGATCTGTCAAAAAAAAATGACATTTAAAAAAAAAAAAAAAAATTTATAGGATGAGACCTGTTTAAAAAAAATTACATTAATAAAAAAAAAAAAATTTCTTATTATGGGACCTGTCAAAAAAACAAAAAAAAAATTTTTTCTCAATTACCTGTCAAAAAAAGAGGACACTTGAAATTTTTTTTTTTTTTTTTTATAGGATTGGACTTGTCAAGAAATGAGATTTAAAAAAAAAAAAAAATGTTTTTGATAGGATTGGACCTGTCAAAAAAAAATGACATTTAAAAAAAAAAAAAAAATTGTTTTTCATATTATTGGACCTGTCAAAAAAATGACACTTAAAAAAAAAATATATATTTTTTTATAGGATTGGACCTGTCAAAAAATGACATTTAAAAAAAAAAAAAAAATTTATAGGATGAGACCTGTTAAAAAAAAGTTACATTAATTTGAAAGAAAAAAAAAATAAATTTTCATATTATGGGACCTGTCAAAAAAACAAAAAAAAAAAATTTTCTCAATTACCTGTCAAAAAAAGAGGACACTTGAAAAAATTTTTTTTTTTTTTTTATAGGATTGGACTTGTCAAAAAATGAGATTTAAAAAAAAAATAAAAAATGTTTTTGATAGGATTGGACCTTTCAAAAAAAAATGACATTTAAAAAAAAAAAAAAATTGTTTTTCATATTATTGGACCTGTCAAAAAAATGACACTTTAAAAAAAAAATATATTTTTTTATAGGATTGGACTTGTCAAAAAATGAGATTTAAAAAAAAAAAAAAAAAAATTTTTTTCAAGTGTCATCTTTTTTTGACAGGTAATTGAGAAAATTTTTTTTTTTTTTGTTTTTTTGACAGGTCCCATAATATGATAATTTTTTTTTTTTTTTCTTTCAAATTAATGTAATTTTTTTTTAACAGGTCTCATCCTATAAATTTTTTTTTTTTTTTTTAAATGTCATTTTTTGACAGGTCCAATCCTATAAAAAAATATTTTTTTTTTTTTCAAGTGTCATTTTTTTGACAGGTCCAATAATATGAAAAACAATTTTTTTTTTTTTTTAAATGTCATTTTTTTTTGACAGATCCAATCCTATCAAAAACATGTTTTTTTT